ACCTGAAGTACTTTAACGTACAGATTACCACAGTCCATGCTAATCAAGACCAGGATCAGTGACACAAACAAACAAAATGGCTGATCTCTGATTACTTTTCATATAAGGCAAATTCTTTAAGTCATATTTGTTGCTTCTAAAATTTGATTTTTGGGTATTTATTTGAAGTGAAAGCCTTTATTGATTTAATTAGTCCTAAAGGATAAACCAGATGTTTTAGACTTTGTTATTGTCAACTAATCCAGTAAAAAGACAAAAACTAACATCTGCAAACATACTTTATCTTAAAAGCTGATAAAAACAATATGTAATCTAATTTCTTATCTAATTTCTTAACCCTTCCTGAATCCCAAATCCTGTTCTTTTTGAAATGAAGGTTATCTTTTTAAAAAACTTGCCAAAATTACTCAATCAGAACCAGAAACTGTAGAAACAGAAAGACTCGACAGATTTCTTCAACTTTCCAACCTTCTGAACGACTCACATGCAGTTCTGTTGGGAAAATGATCCAAATCTAGGTGTAAAATCATTTAACAAACACTTCATGCTACATGTTTCAATTAGGAATTTGAGAAAAATAAGTATTTTTTGAATGAGATTATGTTAAAAAAAAAACAAAAAAAAAAAACATAATGCTGTGCTTGTTGTCTCAACAGAGAAGTCCTTGGTGACTCAGTTACATCATTAGACAAAAATTCAAAGACTTTTCAGCTGAACTGCAGGCAGAAGTGTGAAAATAAATTAAAACCATCCTTCCATCCATCATCTATACACTTCTTAATCCTCACTAGGGTCATGGGGGGCTGGAGTCTATCCCAGCTGACTCAGGGTGAAGGCAGGGGACCCTGTGGAGGTCACCAGTCTATCACAGGGCTACACTTAGAGACAGACAACCAAGCACACTCACATTCACACCTACGGACAATTTAGAATCACCAATTAACCTCAACATGTTTCTGGACTGTGGGAGGAAGCCGGAGAACCCGGAGAGAACCCACGCTGCACGGGGAGAACATGGAGACTCCTCGCAGGTGCCCTGAACTGGCGACCTTCTTGCTGCGAGACAACGATGCTAACCATCCAGCCACCCTGCAGCACTAATTAAAACCATAAGGAGCAAAATATTTATAGTATGTAGAGTCACTATTTTTTCCACTGTTGGTAACACCTGTGGGCACTTGGAAAAAGATTCCTTTTTTATGATTTATGACACCTTAACTGTGTTATACATCACAGAGGACATTTTTTATTTCTCTCTACCTCTAGTCATGGTTGTGCTGTTTTCATAGAGAAACAGGACTTTATATTGCAGCGAAAAATGAGCCCACACGGAGTCAAAATGTAACAGGAGCAAAGGAACTGCTCAGCTTGGATTTCAGACAGTTAAATTCCAGCGAGGCTTCATGATAAAAAAGACATAAACTAACATCCTCATGCTTTCTGACTTAACCAGTCTGCAAACACCGTGTATGTTGACAACAGCTGATTAATCCACGATATAATTTAATTTCCTTAATGTTCTAAAACAGCCAGGCACTGTAGGTCTTAACAAATGTTACATAAATGGTAGTGATATTGTTTAGATTAGTTTATTATTGGTCTGGATTATTATTTTTTTATCCTCAGAAATATATATATATTAATGGAGTTGACCTTTAAAGCTGCTCGTTGTGTTTTTCTGCATCTTGTGTGGTCTTGCTTGTGTGGGTTCAACTGAGTAATAAATTATTCTAGCATGTTATGACCAGTGGATTCTTCTATATCTTGTGAATCAATGAACCAACCAAATCATCCAAGCAACCGTCTGACTGATCGATGCAAAATTAAAGCCTCACAAAAGGCAAAATATGTTTCATATGTTAAAATCCAGTTAATGCAAGTAGCTACTGTTTAAATACCCACAGACAGTAGATAGATAGAATTCTTGATGTCGTCACTCCACGGTTTGATCTGCCAGAAACTGCAGCCCCTGAGGGTTCAGTAATAAAGATTTCCTTGAGAGAATATTTAGGTTTCTCTCTGAGCAGCTCTGTGTGTTTCTGCCTGCGGCGATAAGGTTCGTTCTGCCCTCTGAGTTGGCTTCGACTGAGGAGAGTCAGTTCCCTCCGTTAGAAAGAACAAGTCATTAGAACACAAGGTCAGGGTCTGTCCCGTCTAGACGCATTCAAATTTTACAGTTTGATACAGAGTTTCATGGGAAGCCCAAGGCCAACTATTAACACCTTCGCAGAACTGAGTCAGTAACGTACAGTGTTTGCTTTACTGGCAGCAAATATCCGCCTTTTTTTTTTTTTTTTTTCTGCGTCGCCATATGGCACAAGGAAGCTAATTACCTTGAGGAATGTGTTAGATCCATAAATCTTCATGATGTGACAAAATGCACTAAGAGCGCGGATATTTCTAGAAATTGTGAATCGTTATTAGAGCACATATTTTACTCACTGCTGCAAATGGTGCATGTCTTCGCTCAGTGTTTTGGATGGAAACTTTCCCTCAGGCTGCGAAATAAGCTGCAGCCTTCCCAGTGATATATGACTTTGTGACACTGCATCAGTGGCTGAGGTCGGAGTTTAAGCACAGAACAGCCAGCGTGATGGATGGGACACACGTGTGCACACAGTCTGTCATGAACATGTGGCTCAACAAGTACAGATTTCACCAATTTGGTTTCACATCAGGGTGAATGCGCCGCTCTGGAAAGCTGCTAATGGATGATGAATGCATCTGTGAAGCGTTGATTGATGGCACTCTGAATTAATTCTCCCTTCAATATCCATTTCAAGCAAGAACAGCAAGTCTTTATGGGGTAAGTTTAAGCTTTATTTTTGCATCTGTATTAAATAGTAACGCCAAAACTCCAGCAGGTACAGACAGGTGACGAATTACAGGAAAAACCTGAACCCCTGACCTCTACATTGAGGGAATCCAGTGGCTCGACTATGTTTTGGAGGCATTTTACTAGCATGGTGTTGGGTCCACTTCCACCAAATGACAATGCCACTGACAGTCCAAAGGGCATGAGGGGTCACTGAATTATCAAAAATTATGTAAATGCATTTATAGTCATTGCACAAGTACAACGAAATATGATCACACTGGATTACAATCATATTGCATCGTAAAGCTTAAGATGAAGTTGAAGAATCAACACAATGGAGCACTGAAGCCGTTCTGGTAGCACATGGTGGCAGAAACCCTACAAAGACACCTTTTTTTTTCGTTTGATTTGCATCGATTACCTGTCTGAATGTGCACTTATTGTGTTCCCTCTGAAAAGAAATACAATGTGGGAACCAAAAAGTCTGTTTATGTTTTCGTCAACAAGTTTCTGATGCACCTGCCTTCACCCTGAGTCAGCTGGAATAAGCTCCAGGCCCCCCGTGACCCTGGTGAGGATTAATCGGTGTATAGATGATGGATGGATGGATGGAGTTTCTGATGCCAGTGGAGATCATTAAGAGTTGAGCTTTGATGAAAGAAGTTGAAAAAGGGTATTCATCTTCCCCTTTTCTGTAGCAAATCTCTGGTAAAGCCGTTTCAAATAGGGGTGATAGCTAACAGTTAATTTCAGTGCCATCTATTCTCTTGATTAATCCATTATTTGTTTGATCTACAAATGTCAGAAAATGGTGACCGATGTCGGTCAGCGTTTCCCAAAGACCAAGATGACAAATGACTGGTTTTGGCCACAACCTGATGATTTTATATTGGTCATAGAGGAGTAAATAATTCAGAATGTATTCAAACTTTAGAAGCTGGGATCAGAGAAACTTTTTAGGTTGAGCAAACGACTATCACAATAGCCCTTGATTAATTTAATAATTGACATCTACTTGGTTAATTGTTGCAGCGCGAATATCAAATCTAAATCCTCTGCTCAACTGTTGCTTTCCGGAATACTGAATGAAACAAAGTAAATATGGAAGTCTTATAGGATATTCTCATATTCAAAAATGAATTCGACTGCTGATCGCAACACAAAATAATTAATATAAGTTGGAATACAGTCAAAACATGGTCTGACACAAATACGTGCAACATATCGGTCTAGTACGGAGGTGGTTGTGTCACCAGGAGCTATCTGATGTTGGGCTGTAGACTAAAACCTGTACCTTTAGTGTAAAAGCTACAATACGAGCGTTGAAGTCACTGGTTTCCCCTGGAAAAGTTACGCTCTGACTATCAGAATTAACAGATTTAGAAGTTTTTCTTTAGAAATAATCCATTTTGCCCTAAAACAGCTTAGATACAACTCTACACCAATGCTTCCTTGAAAATCTACGATCTACGACGTCCCTGCCTCTGTCTCCACACATTGCTGTGGACCCACTACAAGTCGAGCACACCAGCTCACTCCAACACTGTAAAATGCTACACAAAGGTAAGTTGTAACACTGCAGTAAGTCAGACAAACAGAATCAAACCGGAATCCAATTCTAAAACGGAGAGTTGACAGGATTGGTGTTAAGGTTTATAAAGACCTGGAAATCTGAATCTGTGTTTTTGAGCCGAGCTGAAATGCTCAGCCATGTTGTGTCTTGTAGCATATCACAGACGCCATATTGACAAGCTAACAAAGCAAAAACTTTTACTTTTACTGTAAGTGGCATGTAACAACTTGCATCAGGTATAACTCTAGCTGTAGGCTCTTATAGCACTTGGCTAAAGTTCAGGAAAGATGAAGGTCTTTTCTAAATGGACAACAGCTTTTTACTTTTTCTTTTTCATCATATATGAGCATACTTTTTAGGAGACAGGGCTCAAATAGTTATTGAACAAATACTTAAAAATGCGTCTAAAGGGTTGATTATTAGTCTGGGGACCTCTATGAACACATAAGATGCTTCTCGTATGTCTTTTAGAGGGTTTCCAGAAAGAACAGCTAAACAGTTCCTTTCCTGCTGCTTGAATTCTTGATCTGTGAGGTGCTTTGATTTCTCTATACACAATAAACCTGACTCGCCTTGGAGCCTAGACCATAAATGCTGCAGTGTACTCACAGTTGAAGTCGGACGTGATGGAGTTCCCGGCCAGCAGGCTGTTGACGGTAATCTGATAGATGATGTGGAGCAGCAGGAAGGACATACTGGTGAAGCAGAGGGACTGCAGCAGACGCCCTGTGTGGCCTGGAGGAGGAAAAAGCAGCTACAGTGAGTTCACCGCCACTCAGTTGAAGGATTCCCACATGTTGTTTCTGCCGTTCATGCACTAAAACATGCACTAAAACACAGAAAAAGTCTCTTTGCTGGTTTGTTTTTGTAGACACGGAGAACTTTGTGGAACACTCGGGTGAGATTTTTTTTTTTGCACAGCGATTCGTATTCATGTGATGTGCTGTAGAGCCTGGAGAAGGTAAGGGTGACTGGGAGAGCACCCAAGAGAGACTTTCTGCGGATCACAGTACATATCCTGGCTAAGAACCTGCAACACGACCAGTGCTGAGCTTATTTCTACTAAGAAGTCAAATAAACATTCTGGTGGACCGCAAGACCTCTAAGTCTCTAATTCATCACCAGAGGAGCAGAACCGGCTTTTACATCTGATTTTATTCTTTGGTTTGTGGCTGTTCGTGTTCACAAATAAAGGCTACGAACACACAGGTG